AAATAAGCACTTAAGAAACGTCCAATAAATGTTTTCTAAATGAATGAATGCATACATCCTTACCTCCTCACAGAGGTAAGAGTAGCTTTCAAACAAAGTCACACGCTGGTACCCACAGACCTAATAATCTAGCCCCAACAATATTTGGTTTAGCTGGCATAGTGTTAAAGCTTGAATCAGCAGAAGAATGCAGACACAGAAAACCCATTAAAATGAATAATCTCACTGAAGAAGTCCAGGTTCCTAGTGACCAAATTGCAACTAATGACCAGAGATGCCAATTTGGCTCTACAGCAGAAAGACAAACTTATGTCATCACAGTGGCAATTTGTTTATTCTATAATCCATTCTGCGTTGCTAAGAATTAACTGGCAGATACTCTTCAGCAAAGTCCCCCCAACACTCACCCACCGCCCTTGATGAGATTGAGATCAGCATCTACTTCATCAGCACCGTCAATGGCAATGTCAATCTGTGTTGGGGGAGAGGAAAGATACAAAAACCACTAAGAGCCTTTTGAGAGAAGGCTCTGTACAAAGCTTGAACATGCAATATAGCTCATCAGGTCCTTAGCAGCCCTGTTAGCTATGCACAGTCGCATTTAATCTACCAAGAAACTGAGGCTTAAACTGTTCCATTAGAGACGCCAGGAGACAAATATGGGACCTGGGAACCACAACTGGTTCCAGCTCTTACACTCCCTATTCTCACTGACAGGCTTCTCAGGGAAGAAGCTGGAATTACTGAGATCTTGTAGTCTCAATGTGGATGACATGACGCCCAAGTACAGAAACAGACATATGGTGTATCTGTGGTCTTAAAATTCCATAGGGGGAGGAATGGCAGATTAATAGAAAAAAGGCTGAGAAACACTAATTTAGAAGTCTCCATACTAGTGTGACAAAAACAGACAATTTTGAGCAGACTGATAACACCCAAAGAAGAGTTATAAAGTTGACACGCATTTGATGTGATCCAGAATTGGAAATTATCTGAAGTACCCCTACCATGATCCCATCAAAGCACCTGTCTGGGCTTGCCCACTCTATTAGGGAGCTCCACCACCAGCCCCCAAAGTGGTCAAAGGGCAAATTGGTTCATTCATCTTTCAAAATTCGAAATCAAGGACGTTATGTATTTCTCATCACTCCTGGCACCCTGCATGGACAATGTAAGAGCTTCAAATATGGTGGTTGTTTTTTTTTAAATAGCAGTAAAGAAAACCTCAGGATACAAATTCAGTTCAAGCTCTAGTTAGAAGTTGCTTGGCGTGGCTGCTGTGGCACAGGTGAGAAGCCTACAAAGCTTTAGCCAGGCTCCTTTATTTCCATCCTTTTACAAATCAGCCTTTTATCTGAAGTTATAGCCTGGCTCGCTTCTCCTTGACCTTGCATTAACTCCAGGGCCAGGCTTTGCCTTGGCAACTCTCCAGGGCCTGGAAAATCGCAACCCTTTGTCAGGGTAGCAGGCTCACCTTCAGCCCAAACCATTCACCTGAGAGCGCTGAACAGCTGATTCAGCCTGTGCCCTGGCTCTGCCCACAGAACTCTCTCAACAAGACTGTCCCGTGGTTCCTACTAACCCCTCGGAGGCCCATGTATACCATGACAACTGGGTTACTAGACCACCATCAAGACCCAACCACTAGCCTGGTTTTGGAGCTAAAACCCCACCTCACTCAATGCCCTCTCCCCTTTACCCCACTATATCCAAGCATGCCACTACTTGGTCCAAATCACCCCAACTAGCCTGAGTATTGTCCACATATATCCGTGTGCCTACCTGGAACTGCTCACTGGAATGTCCTCTCCTGCCCCAACCACCCAGCCTTCACAGTCCCACTCAAACTTTACCTCTTCCCACAAAACCCTTCTAAGTAGTGCCGCTCTAGAGCTAGGAGCACTCAAATTCATACTGAGGCTCTGCCAATTACAAAAAGCATGGCCTTAGGCAAGTGCCTTGCCCTCTCTGTGCCTTTTCCACATCTGTAAAATGGGATAATAATGGTCCCCACCCTAATGCTACTAGAGATTAAACAGTTTACCACAGGTACTGTACTGAGCACAATACTTAGTATACAGTAAGGGCTCAGTAAATGCTAGCTATGAGCATGCTACTCACCCTCATCGACTTCGGTCTCCTCTGGATTGCCCATGTGTTTAACTGTCTTTTTCATAAAACTTAATTTTAATCTGTTTTCAAATGTCTATGGCTGCCTCAGATGATTGCTTCTTTTCTCCACTTGCTGGTAAGCTCTCGGGGCTGGCTCACACTCATATCTCTGTCCAAGGACCAAAGGAAGCCCTTTGGGTGCAGTCTTGGACTCGTCCAATGCCCCTCTACCACACTCAAACTGAACCCTCATGGTTAGGCCACAGGGAATATACTGGGAACCAACTACCTCTCTGCTTGTGACCTAGGCCAGGATTAACACTCAAGGTCTCAAGAGGAATGCTAATATGATGAACCGACCTTACTCCTAGACTCGACAAGATATACAGAGCCTATGAACAAGTGAAAGACATAAAAAAGGGGCAGAGACAGAATGGCCTCTCTCTTACCTCTGGGTGTCGGTCCAGGTCACTGAGAGTTAAGTCGTGCTGCAGGATGAGCTGACGGGCCTATGGAGGACAGGAAAAAGCATCCATGATCATTTATCCTGAGCACTGACAAGGATTTTCAAAATTCTGTTGGATTTAAGTGTCAAACACTGAGTCCTGACCAAGGCTCCCTCCCAAATCCCAACCTGGCTCACTAAGGTAAAAGATCTAGACCCACGAAAGGCAAAACAAGGTTAATTCATCCTGGGAGCCAGAAGAAGCCAAACAGTACACAAAAGAGCTCCTCCTTAGTGACCTGCTATTTAAGACGATAAATAGCTGTCGTGGCCTCCTACAGCTTCCGGTAACACAGTGTTTTAAAAATTTCCTAAATCTGCAAAATATTAGAAAAGTTCCTAAAAACAATCCAACAGTGTGAAAAAAGACCGAGGATGATCTACAAAATATTAGAAAAATTTCCTAAAGTAAGAACCAAATCTAGAAAATATTAGAAAAGTTCCTAAAAACAATCCAACAGTGTGAAAAAAGACCGAGGATGATCTACAAAATATTAGAAAAGTTCCTAAAAACAATCCAACAGTGTGAAAAAAGACCGAGGAAGATCACTATGAATTGATGTGGAGTGATTTTCAGGCTATTCTATTGAGTAAAAATAAGTGCAAGAATATATACACTTGGAAGAGTATATAAAGAAAGGCAGGACTTCTGGAATGGCTAAGTGAGGAGCATGGCAAATTGAGAGCACCAGACTGGGCAAAATTTAGGATGTTTGGAAAAAGTCAGTACCACTGACTTTATAGATATGAGTCATAGTTAACCTTTCAAACAGGCTGACCAAAGGGGAGAGCAGTGGTTACCGCCACATGGCCCCAAGCAGGATCCATAGCTGGAATAAATGCACCATGAACCTTGGACCACCCAAGTCCAAGTGATGAGGATATATGTCATTGTTTACAATATGCAGAGGAACCAAAGGATGAAAGAAGTTTTTTTCAAAGGCATGTCTTAAAAATATTTCTGCTCACAGTGAAAAGCACCTGAGATTAAGAATCAGAAGGTCTGGGTTCTACCTTAAATGAACCAGCCACATGACCCCTGGCAAGTTTTCCATCTACCAAAAGATGGAGATGGACAAAATGACCAATGTAATTCCTCAAATCTAAAATCCTCAACGCTAAGAATAAAATACAAAGACCTGGGATTTGCAATATATACGGCCTTTATTTTGAACTCTGATTCAAACAAACTGTAAAAAATACTTTTAAGGATAAGAGGGGAAATTTAAACTCTGGATTTTTATTTGACACTATTAAAGATTATCGTTATATTTTTTAGTATTGCTGAGATGTTTAAGTCTCCCTATTTTTCAGAGACATAATGAAATATATCAATGAGTTATACTATGACTGGGATTTGTTTCAAAATAAACAAGGTGGAAAAGAATGGGATACAGATAAAACAAAATTAATTGGTCATTAAGTAATAATTGTTCAAATTGGGTGATGGAAGTTCATTACATTGTTCATTATCCTTTTTGAAGTTTGAAATTTTCCATGATAAAAGGCTAAAATAAAACGCTGACAGAAAAAATCAAGTTAAAAAAAAAAAACCATGATTTTTTTCTTATTGAAGAACAAAATATATATAATGAAAAGAAAACAAAATATATATAATATATATAATGAAGAGAAAACAATCATTAAAATGGTATTGCTGGATTATTTTGAAGTTCTAGATTTCTCCAAAAGTGGTACTAGAGAAACCACCATAATTCCAGACCTTGAAGACTATAAAATACTTAGAAGAGCTATCTGGAAGGCAGCCTCCAAGGTGATCCCCAGTGAGCCCCTCCTCCTGGTAATCGTGCCTTTGGGTATTCCTGCCCACAATGTCCCAGGGTTGGTCTGTGACCAATGGCACACAGGAGGGGAGATGGCATGATACTTCAGAGATCAGTTCATACAGAATGTCACTTAGGGTAGAGGACTAAGGGTGAAGCATGCTCAAGTAATCTTTCCCTCCTTCCTTTTCTCCTCTCCCTCAGCCTCTCATATCACACACTCCAGGGGAAACCAGCTGCTATGTCCTGAAGACACTGAGGCAGCCCTGGGCACAGGCCTTCTACTCAATTGCCTGTGACAAAATGAGGCCTGCAAACACCCAGGTGGCTGAGCTTGGAAGCAGATCCTTCAACTGAGGCCCAGGCAACCTCACAAGAGACCCAAAGCCAGAACCACTCGACTAAACCACTCCAGATTCCTGACTCTTGGAAACCATGAAATAAGATATTTATTGTTTCAAACGTCTAAGTTTAAGGGTAATTTGTTCCACAGTGATAAATATCTAACACAGAAGGTGTTAGAAAAATGATAAGAACTGCATATAGTTCAGTGTGATATTCTATCATGCAAATAAAACGGTGTGATATACCATGATCTTACTAATTTTATCTACTTTAGAAACAGTACTAAATTGAGTTGAAATATATTAAATGAAAACTGGATGTCAGCAGACACCTCTATGATGATTCCTACGAGAAAAGTCCTGTGTAAACATATCATTTTAACTGAACATTTCTTAAGTTCAAAGCACCACCTGACAGTGTTACTGTTTCATGAGGATGCCCTATTGTCCACCTAAGCTATACTCAGCGCACAAGACACCACATTTTACATACTCTTGTTACCCTACAGCAGTTAGCATCATATTAAACCAACAGGTGAGTAAATAACTGATCACTGTGAGATCAATCAAAAAGGAGCCACTTAGTGTAAACCCGTGTTAAGGAATGGATGCTGAGGGAGGTCACACAGTGATAAGTTAGGAACAGATCGAGGACCAGAAATACTGTCTCCTGCTTTCCTGTCTTGTCTAGGGACTAGGAATGCAATTAAGAAAAAAGGAATATGGAGAGAATGATAGAAGAAAAAGAGAGGACAGCCCTGCTTATAAACGGAAATGAAGTCATCTTACATAATAATATGCTATTAATAATACTATTAACGATAATTTTAAGAGGAATTCTTTGAGTTCTTGGCATTCCTCCTCTAACTGAAGTGCTCTGCCTTCTCCCAACTCCAGCACCTCATACCTAACTCAAAGGATGTCCTTTCCAGGAAGTCTTCTCAATCCCATGGGCAAAGAGGGGCTCTCCTTCCTCTAAAAAGCACATTATCGTTAATTCTTCTCTACTATATTATTTGTAAAAATGACACACATAAATGCAGCATTAATTCATCTAGCAAACACAGAGTGCCTAAGGGCCAGGCACCACACTGGACACTGGAGATAATGAATAACACCTCCCATGTACAAGGAGCCTCATCTCCCTTAAAAAATACATATACTCTCAACAATTGGTATGTCCAAGTGAACTCTGCTTCATCACCACCACCACTAACCCGCCTAGCACCTGTCCAGAGTCTGGAACATGAGAGGGGCCTACAGGTAAGTGTTGTCTACATCACGCAGCTAGACCTACTGTAATCCCCTTTCCCACCCAAGTCTCACCACCCCAGACAATAACCAGTAGTAATATGAGCACAGGATCTGTATAAGCTTTAAACGGTATGTATCCCATTCACAACACAGAGGACGACCCTGTACAATGACTGCAAAATCCCACTGGGTTGAGACCCTTTCCCTTAAAGCGTGCTTCCATCAGCAAGTCCTCCAACACTCCCTTCTCCCCACCTTTGATTGGACTCCCCCAGAGCCCCCTGCGAGTGGCCCTGCCCACACAGAGAAGTCATGCTCACAAATAGCATGGGAGTCATCCTTCCTGAGTGTTAGGGGTTAAACTGTGTTCCCCTAAAAAAAAGATATGTTGAAGTTCTAACTCCCAGGACCCCAGAGTGTGACCTTATTTGGAGACAAGGTCTTTACAGAGGTAACCAAGTTAAAGTGACATCGTTAGGGTGGGCCCTAATCCAATAGGACTGGTGTTCTTATAAGGGGAAATTTGGACAAGAGACCATGTGGACATGAAGGCAGAAACCAGGGCGCTGCACCTACAAGCCAAGCAATACCAAAGATTGCCAGCAAACCACCAGAAGGTAGGACAAAGAAACAGAACACATTCTCCCTCACAGCCTTCGAAGGAATCAACCTTGCCAAATCCTTGATCTCGGATTGCCAGCCTCCAGAACTGAGACGATAAAGTTCTGGTTTTTTAGCCACTCAGTTTGCAGTGCCTTGTTATAGCAGCCCTAGGAAATTATGACACTGAATTCAGCACAACAGCCCTGTCATGGGAGTACCGACCCACCACTGGCTCTGTCAGCACGAATGAAGCCTCTATGCATGACTGAGATCAGCATCTACTGGGCACCAGACACGCCGAGCTCACAAGCTAGGGGGGTCTCATCTCCTGAGGAAGTAGAGCAAACACCTGTCAGCCCCTTCCAGCTCTAGAAAGGGCAGGGAGCAGAAAAGCTAATGATTAGCTTGTGCTTATGAAAAAGGACAGGAGGCAATGTCTTCTGACCCGCAATCCCACAGCTGGTGCCTCCAAATGCCTCCTGTGCTTAAAGACAGCAGCACAGTCAGGCTAGCGGTCCTTCTGCTTTTCATCAATTCCACAAAAAAATATGAAAACATCTTCCTTCCTACCACCTAACCCAAGGGGGCTGAAGGCCAGCGTGAACAAAAAAATAGCTATTTTTGGCTTAGACCAGATCTGACTTACTTTCAAATGCGTTTTTTAAATTCTCCTCTTCCAAAAGCTTAACTTTAAAGGGAAAATTTTTACAAATCCTTTAAATTCCTATAAGTTTACTTGTGTAAAAGGTAGGGCACAAAATATTTCAATTTCTTTTCAATCATTTCAGGAGACTACATCTGGCTCAACTTAACACAAAAGTTTGGGTTTGAGGAGGAAAAAAACAGAAACAAGAAAGTAAATGAACAAGTGAATTTTTAAAAGCCCTGTGAACTGTGAACGACTCTTCCATCTAATTAATTAGAATCAACTAGCATTTTCCAGTTTGGGGACACTTGTTAATTATCAACTTAAAACATAGGTGGATTAAGAGGATGACGCTATCTTAAGAACAAAAGATCAAATTTCCAATTAAAGAGAGCAATATGAACATCTGTATTTGACTCAGCTTTCCCAAAACCTCTATAAAACTATAATAAAGGAATTTTTCTTAAAGGCATAAACCAAAAAAAAGAGAAAACAGCAAAAACTGGTGCACAATGGTAAATAGCAGAAATGAGGAAGATAAATCCTAAGCCAGTATTGGGGAAAGCTAAGAAGCAACCAAATAAACAGCACAGACCCTTCCAAAAGGTTCAGACTCAGGCACCGTGAACTTCAGGAAACGGACATGATGGTGGGAGTAAAAAAAGAAAGACTGGTTGAAAGGCTACTTGGGAACCTGTTACATCTCCATATCCTTCTCTACTAGTCCCAGAGCAGTATGTTTATTCTCTGGAGAAGGACAGACAGTAGGTCTCAGGACCAGGCTGCCAGGCACAGCTGAAGATGGTGGTACTCCATAAGTAAGATTTTGTTGCATAGCAGCCATCCCAAAACTCAATGGCTTAAAAGTGCAAACATTTATTAATTCTCATGATTCCCTGGACTGACTGGGAAGTTTCTGGGCTGAGTGGTATCAGATGGCCTGACTCACATGCCTCAGCCACTCATCTGCCATGAGAATAGCCAGGGCTTGTTCACATGATGGCAGAATGGTTTCAGCAGCAAGAGGAGCCAAGCCTCTGCTGTCACATCTACCATTTGGTCACATTCCACTGGCAAACAAGCCATATGATCATAGTCAAAAAGATTCTGCAAAATGCTGTACACACTCCTTTTTCATCTACCACAACTACTACACTGAAAACTGGGGAATTAAGAGCAAGTTTATATCCAGAATAATGACAGATATCTTCCAGCCTTCTTACCTGCTTGGCTCTCAGGACATGGGCAGCCATGCATACCCTCCCAAGAAGAAACTGGGCAGTCTTCTCTGGAAAATCTGACCAGCCAGAGGAAAGACAAATGATCTGACATCAGGAGTTCTCCCAACATAGGGGCTTCACAGGGAGGCCTAGAGCAAAGACCACCCCCATCCTGAGAGCTAGTTTCCACTCAGTTTCTTGGCCTATCAGTCTTCAAAATGAGCAGACAGCTAAGGAACATCAGAATAAGAAAAGTAGGAATATAATTTTTAAAAGACCAAAGCAATCTAATAATATTTTGACTGTGCTAGTTGTTATATGACTGTTTGTCAAAACTCAGAATTATATGCTAAAAAGGATAATTTTACTGTATGTAAATTATACCTCTGACAAAGTATAAAAAAATAACTTTCAGGAAACATATAAGAAGAAATCTTAAGAACAAAATTATCATTGACATCCTCAGAGAGATAAGAGAAGAAACCGAAAAATTGAACCCACGAGAACAACAACAAAAACAACTTTCAGAGAAAAAATGTAGTTCTTGTTTGAAATTTATACATATGAGAGCAAAGGATACTCAACAGAAAGGTTAGAAAAAGAAAAAGCTGAAAAGACAAAGAGACAGAACAGTCCACAGGTACCAAGAACACAACAAGGGTCCTAGAAAGACCAGAGAAACCAGAAGACAGAAAATCTAAGAAATTAATAGAAAAAAATTCCCCAAACTGAAGAGTGAAATTTGCAGGATGAAATGTCCCAGTAAGTACCCAGCATAGTGGACAAAAATAAATGCACACCAAGACACAACACAGTGAAATCTGAGAACACTGGAGACAAAGAAAAGATAACAAAAGGGCATAAGTTCGGAGAAAATAAAAAAGTTTTCATACAGAGGATCAAGAATCAGAATAGCTTCAAGCTCGACAGCAAATTGAAAACCAGAAGACAATAGAGAAATGTATTCAAAATTCTAAATTACTTAACATAGAATTCTCTATTGAATCGAATAACCAACTTCGAAAGAGGCTAAAGAAATTTTCAAACATCCAAAGTGTCAACAAATTTGCATTCCATGCACTTGAGTAGTTACCTAAAGGATGTGCTTCACCCAAACTGAAGAAAACATAAGGGTGTGGAGGAAGAGTGAGGAGGAACAGGGCCAAGAAACAGGATGATCCAAAACAGGAGGAAGTAGAGGCAACTTCCTGGCTGCGAAGGGAGGCCCCAAGATAGCAGCCAAGGGCAGCTCCCAAAGCATTACCAGCTCCAACCACCCGAAAAGACTTGGCCAAGAAGATGAAATTAACGGAGTGGACTATCCACTGTGTCAAAAAGAGGTGAGATTTTCCAATCCAGGTAAGAAGAGCTTAGGGGTAAATTAAAAAGGAGTATATAGCCAACCAAGCAAAATGAAAAAAACAAAGGTAACATTTACTTAACTTTTGAGAGAACAAAATAATGGGCAGGTAAAGAGGAGTAATCATAGCATACTATGCCATTCAGTTGTAATTGGATGGTCATAATTCTGTAAACATTGAGTAAAGCCTCACCAAAATGTAACTACTGGAAGACTGGGAGAGAAGGGTGTGTGTGAACCATGAGATCAAAGTGGTAAAAGATGACCAAATGCTATCTTCCATTCATCCATTCAGTGCAGATTTATTACGTAAAATTGAAAAAAATTAAATAACAATAAAAGCGTGTCATTTTAAGATAGTGGAGCAAATATCGAATCAGCTAATGCAGTTTTAAAAGTATGTCCATCTAAAGAGTAAGAAATGGTGGTAGTCAGGGGTGGGGAGTAAGAGGAATGTGTGTGTGTGTGTGTGTGTGCACGCGCGCACGCACGTGTGTTTTAATAAAAAGACTTGAATTATTTGATTCTTCAATTCATGTGTGTGTATAGTCATGTGTCACTTAACAACAGGATCCATTCTGAGAAATGTGCTGTTAGGTGACTTTGTCGTTGGGGAACACATAGAATGTATTTACACAAACCTAGATGGTATGCCTGTACTGCGATTGTGTGTACTATACTATTATACTACTAGCAACACCACAAACATGTGAGTAATGTGCTGCGCTACGAAGTTATGATGGCTACAACATCACTAGGCGACAGAAAGTTTTTGGCTCCATTATAATCTTACGGGACCACCATCATGTGTGTGGCCCATCACTGACCAAAATATTATGTAGCATATGACTGTATAGCTTTAATTAAAAATAAACACCTATATAAAATAATTTATTAAATAAAAAAAATATTAGATGATCAAGTCGCTTGGAAAAACTAGACACTTAGCTTTTCGAAAGACCAAGGAAACCAATTTTAAAAGCATCTTCTCAGGACAGCAGGATTTCAAAAGCAAAGAGGCAATGTAAAACCACTCATTTTCTAACCTGAAGCAGAAATTGTGGTGTTGTCTTCAGTCTCCTGTGTGCCCACCCACAAGAGATTTCACTTCAAGAAAGCTCTCACCATCCTAATTTCCTATCTTGTCTACCTGAAATCCCTCCTCCACTCCCTAATCTGACAGACCCAAAAGAAACCTCTCAGCCCCCTTAACAGCTCCCTCCCCTCACCAGAGCTATCTGTAGGCTGCCAGGGCTGAGCTTCCAGGATTGGAAGCACCAACTACCTGCAATTCCAACGTTTACCTCAGTTTGCAATATCTCCATGATGAATTCAGTGAGAGATTATACACATACCCCGTCCCACGATGGCCAGATGAGGGACAGAGATGGCTCTATCTGAGCACCTCTCTCCCTTCCCTTCCTGAAGTCTACTCTTCCCTTAGCTTCCTGAAGTCTACTCTTCCCTTAGCTTTCCCTATATTTAACTGGCTCCACTGTTTTCCTCCAACAGCCCCTAATATTTTATGGTGGAATGGCATTACACATGAACTCAAAATACTGTACCTGCATTACTGACACATCACTTAATGCCTTTTGCCTCAGTTTTTTCATCTAAAAATGGAAATAACGTTTCTTTAGAGACCATGTGATCATTTCTATATATTCCATTGCGCCTAACACAAGAGACATGGAACTAGTCACTGAGTGAATAAATGAATGCATCTAAAACCACATGTCTAAGGAGTAGTCCTCAGTAAAGAGAATATTCTCACCCAGCAATTGCACTTCTGGGTATTTATCCAAAGTAAACCAAAACAATAATTCGTAAAGATCTATGCACCCCGATATTCATGGCAGCACAATTTACAATAGCCAAGATATGGAAGCAACCCAAATGCCCATCAGCAGACGACTGGATAAAGAAACTATGGTTCATATATAAAATGGAATATTACTCAGTCATTAAAAAAATGAAATTCTACCATTTGCAACGACATGGATAGACCTAGAGGTTATTATGCTGAGTGAAATAAGTCAGACAAAGATAAATACCACATGATTTCACTTCTATGTGGAATCTGAGGAACAAAAAGAACAAACTAATCAAAAAGACTCACAAACACAGTGGACAATTTGGTGACAGAGGAGAGGGGAGATTAGAAGGCTTGGTGAATGGGGTGAAGGGTTAAAGAAATACAAATTAGTCCTTGATGGATGGATGGTCATGGAGACGGGGAACATGGCATAGGAAAGTAGTTAGCATTAATATATTGGCTAGGTAGAAAACCAGAGGAGAGAAGGAGCAATTGAGGGGATCCTTTCATGAACTTATAAATGTCTAACCAATGTACTGTATACTTGAAACTAATTAAAATAAATAAATAAATTTATTTAAAAAATTTTAAAAACAAAAGAGAGATTATTCTCCTGCTCTGGCTCTCTTCTCATCTAGAACAACTCTGGTGCACAACCCCAAGCCACACTTCTGTGTCCTTGGGGACCCAGAAGATTCAGCAGCAACTGCCAAGATACAGAATGGAAAGCAGGACATACCTGGAAGGAAGTTGGAATACAGACGAGGTTCAGATTCTCTTGTTTCACTCTTTCAGCTGTGGAGAACAAAAGCCATATGGGTGGATTTTCACTCTCATTTTATTTTTCTTGTCGTGTACACATTTGTTCAAACTCAACAGCAAAGGAAAGGCCTACGCCCCTTGGACAGCTGTCTTTCATTCTGTGTCCCCACTCCTGGTGAAAAAGTTGATGGAAATACGTCGCACATCACAATACAGGGACACTAGAAAGCTCAAGGAGATAAGTACTAACTACAGAAAGAACAATGTCAGTGTTTGCTATTATCATGTGCCTGGCGATATTCAAAGATCTTTGTACATATGAACTCTTTTAATCCTAACTCAAAGGTAAGTTACAATTATTATCCCCATTTTACAGATGAGGAAACTGAGGCCCAGAGAGGTAAAGTAACTGGTAGTTGCACAGCTAACAAGTGGCAGAACTGCAATATGATCTTCAGTCTTAATTCCTTCCCTATATTGCTGTTTACAGGGAAATGCTAGAACTCAACTTTTACATTTAGTAAAAAAACAGAATCATTTTTAGAACCCAGAGGGTTGTTAAAGGGAGTTTATTCACTTTTAGACTTCTACCTTTCAGGAAAACTTGATTTAAAAAAAAAAGTCTTAAGAAAAACACAGTCTTGCTAAAATTTAAGTCTTTTTAATCACTGTGTATGCATGCATATTGTGAGGTTTAGATGTCACTATGAAATCTGCAGTAATTCCTGTGCTTTAAAATCCTCCACACACTCAGAGCTAAGGCAGAAACATGTGCAACACTAAAGTCTCTGTTAGGCCAATGACAAGGCTTTCAGAAGCCATCACGCCACACACCACACCACAACCACCCCTTAAAGACGAAGCTTTCCTGGGCTTTGTGCGCTGAGCACTACCCCTTGGCAACTAGAAGAGGTTAGCACTCAGGCAAGCCTTTTCTCTGGGCTTTGTTCTTAACAAACAAGAGCAGGGCAATAAAACCTGTTGAGCAGCCACAGGGGCTGATGATTCCTGAGCCTTTCCTAAGCACAGAGAAACCCTACAGGAACCAGCCCAGCTGGCAACTGCCCATTCACTCCAGGGTCAAGCCTGTACTGACCTTGATTGCTTTGCCTGTGATCGCCTAAGGAACCCACAAGCTTCAGAAGGCTTACCTCAGAGTCCTTGCAACTACATATACAGTATCACTGATGATGATTAAAATTCTATTGAGACCTCACTCAAGTCTACTCTTCCCATCCCCCACAGCTGAGCAGAGTAAACAAAGCCAGGGCAACCTCCAAAGGTGGTTGAAGAGGCCCAAGCATCCCTCTAAGAGAAGAGCAGGTACATTCAACTGACTTCAGGCAAGCAGCCCCTCTCCCACATTCCACACTGCTGGAGCCAAGCAGGGTAGCTGCCCAACCTGTGCCCCACCTCCTCCCCCTCTTCACCCCTGCTCCACCACCCACAGAACATGCAGTAGACAGCCAGCCCAGGGACACACCTATTCGCTGCACAGCGTGGACAATTGTAGACCCGCTTCCAATTCCCAGCACCTGGTTATTCTGCCAAAAAAGGAGAGAAAGAAACAAAACTCAGCATAAACAACTCTATTTTGGGCCTGTTATTATCAGATTACGTTCCTTTAAGAGATGGCAGGGGTCTATCAGGCAGAAGCAACTCCATTTTGGGCCTGTTGTCTAATGTTTACACTCCCTACATCCTATCAGACAAAAGGCTTTGCTCACTTACAACGTTCAGCAACTTAAGTCGGCCTCCCAAAAATGGCCTACAGATGAACACAGAAAGTCTCTTGGGCAGGGTGATCAGAAAGTAAAGGCCCCCGGAAAAAAAAAGAGAGCCTTGGTGTAACCAGAGAAGAAAGCAGAGGTTTCTGGCTTCGGTGCCTTTTCATAAAAGCTTACCATCTAGAAGGCAGGGGACTGACCACATGCACTTAATGCTGGAGGCATCGCAGGGAACCTGAGGGACATATGAAGCCCACCATCTAGACTTTCCCCAAAGTAAGAAGAGATAAGAGTCTGAAGTAACCACGAAATAGGGAATTACATCAGCATCTGTCCAGCTGATGCCAACTGGTCTCCATGTGCATAAGCCTGCCTCAGAGAATGTGGGGAAAGAGCAAAGGCTAAGTTAAGAACATGAGAAAGTCTTCGCCTGCAATTGGAAGGATTTGTAATAAACGCAGAACACTTCCTGAGTATAAACGACAAGAAACAGGCATCACACTACTGAGCTGGCCTTCTTAAGAAAAAGAGAAGGTACCTATGAGTATACCAGGGGCACAGTAGGGGCCCAGCCAACGTCAGTTAGACCACAAACAGCACAACAAGGTCAGGGTACACATACTCAGGAACTAATGTGGAGCTCAGTGTCTAAGCAACTTCCTGGCAACAATTTCCTGTCAGTCTAAGGCAAAATAGCTAAAAACCCAAGCAGCAGCTACCATTTATTAAGCACCTTCCATGAAGATTTATAAATGTTAATACAAGTCGAAACTCACAATAAGCCCTTGTGACGTCAAGACCCATTATCCCCATTTCAGAGATGAATTCAACACTGCACGGAAAAATTTAAAATTTAGAAATGAGCAAAAGAGATTACGGGATGTCCACTCAGTGGAATGCAGGAGCCTGCAGGTCCTGTATTATCTGATCCTACAGGTGTGTGCGCCTTTGCCTTGACTAGGCCATTTTGCAACTCTGTAAAGACAGACTTTAACTTGTAGAAAACCACTAATAATACAAATAATTCTTGTCCACAGAACTGCAAATTAATTATATTTTGTGAGAACCATCTGATTATTAACCTATAAATCTTGTAAATTTATTTTACTTAACACTTTTTGATTGCATATAAATTTATGGTTCTTTGGTTTTTCCTGTGAACAGGTTATAACATCTTTTCCAGTTCTCTCATCAATTTAATGAATTAAATAAAATCTTTGATACATGTTTATATATGTATAAGCATCATGATTTTAGCTTTCAAAAAAATCATCTTTTAATAATATCAATCACCTCCCTACAGAACCTCACTTTGAATAAGCAACTTCCCCAAGTTCATTTTGCTGAAACATCATTTCATTCAAACGTCTCAAGAGTTTCAGCGACTAATTACCAATGAACTCATCTGGCAAGAGAAGCCATAGTGAAACTGTCTTCCTAGGAGGGAAAAAAAAGGTCTGGAAGCCCCTCAGGACAAAGAGGCATCACCACTCACTCTCCACAAAACAAAGGCCAGAGGAATACCCAAATCCAGCCTCTGTTCCACCCTCCTCAAAATGGACAACACATCAATCTAGAAAAGACTGGAAAGAATGACCAACAGTTGGAGAGAATTACAAAAAAGAAATCAAAAGCTAATGTCCCCACTTCCAGCTGGGTGTCTCCTATCTACAGAGGCTTAAACCGTCAACCTCTGTATTCCTGACCTGATATAAATAACTTACTAGCTCATCATTCCAAAATAGAGCTCGTGTTAGGTCAGGATTCCACCTGCGACAATGCCCTCAAGAAGGCAAAGCATCCAATAGTCATTTAGCTAGCTACCTGGGCAAACCTCAATAGCAAGGTCTTCATAATGGTACAACACAAAACATGCAAAATAACTGAGTATCAGAAAATGCAAAAATCTTCAAGTATTAGAAAATATCTTGACTTATTTATTTATGCGAGTATCAGAAAATGCAAAAATCTTCAAGTATTAGAAAATAAATATCTTGACTTATTTATGCCTAGGTAGGCTCAATCTCACCTGAAGCTGAGAGCTCTAGCTGTACAGTAATTTAACTGCCAGCTTCCTCATTATCACGTTCAGCTATACATTCATGTCACACAAATGAACTAGATGAGTCAGACAAGCTCTGTGCAAAGCTCCTCCTGTTACTGAACTCGAGTCGAGGAGTTCACTTTGCCTGCACGTCAAAGCCAAAAGAGACACGGACAGGGGTTTGCAGCAAAGAAAGTAGAAGTTTATTTAGGGAAATGTCACCAAGTTTGCAGACACAGGTGAGCTAGAGCTCAAAGATTGGCTCTCTGATGGCCTCTAAGGGATAAGTTATACAGGGCAAAACTCATCAGTCATGGTAGCTAAGGGAGCTGGGTTTGTGGGCTCTACTGATTGGTCGGGACTAGGGTAGAAAGCAGTTAACCATTGCATCAGGTCCTGATGTCAGTCATGGCGTAGTTCTGTCTGGTTTCAAGTGTCTGGTTTCAAGGGTCGTTCTGCCTTCTTTGGTACAGAACTATAAGATATTATCTTTAGTTTAACTGAAACTGTTTTTGTGGTCGACAGACCTGAGGCTTTGTTTGATGCTGACCTAAGAGTTTAATGATTAAGGGAGTGGTCGTGCAGAACACAGAAAGATAAGGAAAGAAAAGAAACAAGTTAGCCCAAGCCAGTTTGAATCAAGGAGAAAGAGAAGAAAAAGTCAATTTATAGATGTGACTATTTGCACAGTTACACTCCCCTGGCTTTTGGAGGAGGCCATGAAATGCAGGAAGCTGCTAGGCCCAAAGTTCTTCAACCATGTCATGTGGCCCTGGAATTAAATGACTGGCCCAGGAATCACTGTCCCAGCCAAAGCCAAAGAGAGGTGGCCAACGGGTGACTACAAGATGGCCCAACAGGAGAAGGCTGCCAAGCAGGCTCCACTGGAGGAGCAGGCCGCTGCTTCTGGTCATTTCACATGTGCAACATCAGAACTTACCTTGCCCATTGGGTAACCTTGGAAATATTTCTTCAAATGGTTACCACATTGGAGCACCAATGGGCTAGGGAACTGGACATATACCCCAGAGATTCAACCTACCAATAATCCCAGAACCTCCATACTTGTATCCACACTCCACACAATTCAGTGAACATGTACTAGGCTGGCCCTATTGTGACCAATACTGGATGAAAATAAAAGTTATCTACTATCCTGGAGCTTACCCTTTAGGGAGCTGGGAGAGACAAAACAGCGATGACTAGAACATAAGACACCTGCATAAGGTGCCTAAGAGGTATAAAGCACTACAAGCTTGAAGAGAATTTGTCCTCCCTTCATGAGGCAAAGGAAAAAAAACTGAAAGAAAGAAATGGCCTTTGAACCAAACCCTGAAGAACATATATGATTTTAACAGGTAAAGGCAGAAGACAAGAAAGAGCATTCTAGGTCGAAGATAGTAATGTTAAAACACAAATCATGTGCCAGTAGCCTGCCTTTTCCAATGTTCTGGTACCTGTGGGAGAACGAAGCACAGAAGAAAATGAAACTGTGGGCTTCAGGACAAGAACCAGAGCCTCTTTTCTGTGTATCATCTCTACCTAGCTTGGTACCTAGATGTAACAGATGCTTCAAATGTGTTACATGGAGATTAGGATGAGGCCACATGAGGGCCACTGTGACAAGAGCAGATGAGAGCTTCAGAAGATGATAATGCATCACTTGGGGGGTCAACAGAGGGGACAAGATAAGGGAAACTGCTATCCTCTGGCCCTGTGGAAAGCCTAAACTGGGAAAGTTGTTAAGTCAAAGGGAAGGGTCAGCTCTAAAAACATTCCAAAGATGGAACCAACAAGACTTAGCATATAACCTACCTCAGTAAACTTACAAAAGTGAGTAAATGACTTTAAGTCATAATATGCTAGAGGAAACCATGGCCTTACATGGGGCAAAGAAGACCCCCCTGGAAAGGAGAGCTAAGCCTTAATAATTATGTACATAAATGTGTGCAATAAATATGTGGATGTGAATGAGTTATCCTGCTTGCAAAGTATCCAGGACCCAACTCTCCTCTTCCTCTCTTTAGCCACATTTCTGGCAATCACAACAACTGCTCTGACACCACCAGGCACTCAGTAAATACCTGGCAAACAAATGATATGAACAAATCAATGTTAAACAGCAAAAGAATACAAAATTCAACTAGTGCTGGCAACTTAGAAAAGAAGTTGGGTAGAGAAAGTGGGTGCAACTCAGATTGGGGTGAGGTGCCCCCAAAAGACCAGTGGAGATCTCCCTGGGATCACCTCGTAACTTCATGGAATACTGTGGCTGGAATCCAGGGTTTTGGGGCTCTAGCCTGAGGTGCGGGCTTTCAGATTTTTATTTAACCAAATACGTAATTATAAAACAAAGATCAGGGAAATATGTACCACCAAATATTAATGTAAATAGGTAAATTGGAAAACTAAACTATAGGGCTTTTCTTATTGTATAATTTCATTTAACCTGTTCATTAGCTATTCTCTAATCAAGCATTTTGAAATTTCAGTTTATCGTCCCAATTTTGCAGCTGAGACACTGAACCCGAAAAGTAGAAGTAGACTACACATTTTACATTATCTGTGAATTCCCACAGAAAATCCTACTGTTAACTAGACCTGGAACAAGTTACACCAGAACAGGGCAGCGGTGAAACTGGTGGAAGGGCACTGGGATAGGAGTCACTGGGTTCGGGTTCTGAGGATTCTTGGCTAGTCCTCCAGAACATGCTGAGCCACCGTTTACCAAACAGGCCCCTCCCACATAACCAGGATGTTTGGAGCTCAAACATCATCGATCTATGCAAAATAACTTTGTAAGGCATTATTAAATGTAATGAACTATCATTAGAGAAAAGGGACTCTGATCTCATTTTCCAAGAAGCAGAAAAGAAAGACAAAAAGCCAAAGAAACTCCACCTGGCTACCAAAATACTATCATTTAGATAAGTAACCTGACTGGCAACAGTAAATCAACTCAGGTCAAAAGGCTACACTACCAGCATCACACTCACCACTAAACAAACAAGTGGGGCCACAACCTCACCGAGTAACAGCTAACATCTCTGCACCTCGACCTTTAAGAACAGCATCCTTCAGACTTCAAGTGTCCACCCAGCCCTGTCAAAGAGAGGTTGAAAGATCGAGTCTTCCCCCTGCAACTCTGTCTCCACTTCCCCTTGGCGAGTACACTCAGGAGCAGGCGCGCGCCAAGATTCCTACTTAGAGTGAAATTTCAAAGCAATTTTCAAGCCAGCTCTTCACCGGTTTCCCCAGGAAAGTTAAGAGAAGACCTCTCCGCAACCCAAGAACGCATCAGTTTCCATTTGTTGATAAGGAAAACACATGGCAAGTCCCTTCCATTCCCACTCAACATCAGACACCACCCAGGCTCCACTTTAGAAACTGTTATCCGGCCAGACACGGAGTATTTAGAAAGCTCAACTTAGGGGACTCGTCCCCAACTGATCTCAACATCGAAACAGCTTTTAAATGACAAGGAACAAGGGATTCTAACCTGGGTCACGTGCGCACTCTCTCCCCTCTCACGCCACTTACTTCCTCGCAGGAACTAAGCGCGCCCCAGCAGTGTCCAGAGCGCGCGGCACGAGCCCATCACGCCGAGTCCAGGCGCCCCACGCCCGGAGCTGCTCACCCTCACGTGGTTCTCCACCGCCGCGCGACCCGCCAGCTTCTTGGCCTCCTCGGCCTTGGACATCGCGGAGGGGGCTGGGAAGCCGCTTCTGGCTTCCCAGCCGCTGGTGCTTGTTCCGCCAGCGACGCCGCGGGTCCCGGACTGAGCGCAACCAGGAGACTGCACGTGGGAGCCCGGGACGCCCCAACTGTTCCCGCCTCCACCCGAGGCCGCGCCCCCGGCCCGCCCGGGCAGTGGGGCCAGGACCCGCCCGTAGAGGGTGCTGAAGGGCCCAGGGCGCTGCATCCCGGCGCCTGCCTCCTGCCTCCGCCACGGACCCGCCCCTGGTTCTTCCGGAAGTCTGGTGTTCACGCACACGGCCGGCGCCGGCGCGGGCCTCGCTGGGAAATGCAGTTCTGTGGCTTGGGGAGCCCGAAGCCGCGCCCCGGCGTGGACTACCAGCCCTACAAGGCTCCGCGACCCGTACGCAAATCGCCCGCGACGGGCTTTGGTGCGTTGGCCACTATGACGGGAGAAGCCGACGCTGGTTGAATTCTGGAGGTCTTTCTGTCTGTCCGTGCTTCGGAGGCGGGCAATACCTGACCCTGTTGTTTCTCCCAACAGTAATAAATGTGGCAGTGGACGAGACCTCAGGGCTCTTTTGGAGACGTCTTTTTGGAAATAACTTCTCTAGACTCACTCCCAAGGGAAACGCACATGGGCCCCCAGCGCCCTCTGAAGTCTATTCTAGAGACTTCCGAGGGTCCGGGACTCCAAGTTTAGAACCCCCAGCCCTAGACGTTGTCTGGCACTTTGCGGTATTGGATGGCGTGCTTTGTCCAGATCGAGCCTGATCCCGCACATACGAGTGTGACCTGCAGAGACCCCCACAATCTTGGTTGACTAACAAGGACTTTGACTGAAATTAAAAACTTTGTCTTCTTTACCTGTAAGGTGTATTGCTGTAGGAACAGTAAGGAACAGAGAATTTTTATTGTCCCCGTTTTACAGGTGAGGAAACTAATGCTAACCCCAGCTAACCCCTACTACTTGGAGGTCGTTAAAGAGCATGTATGTAGCCTTTGTGCTTCTTGCCCATGTTTATGGAATCCCCTCTGTCTGCGCACGAACTCATCTTCAAACTGCGGGCCCTCTTCCTCCTGTGTGCAAAGCACCAGTATGGGCCGCCGTTATCGCCCTCATCCTTTGCTGTGCCCACTGAGGCCGTCAGCCCTGGACCACTACCTTAGTCTGAGGAGGGAAAGTTATTTGAGGTAATATTTGAATCTTAGATTTTAGACAGAATTTGGAAACTAGCACGAAGTTCTGGCTAAGATGCTGGACAAAATATTTGGGACCCCCACTACCGTTGGTCTCTGCACCACCGAAGTCAAACTTGTGACCTTTTCTGTATCCTCTTGGGGGCAGTCTTTCCCCATTCAGGCCAAAGGTTGGAGCAAACTGTTAGTAGACAATCTCTGCTTTACCCCTCCAGCCTCAGGGCATTTGTACTGAGGCTTCCCACAGTAAGTGCTCTCTGCCTGATCCTCTGCCCTTCTCTGCGCTGCCAGCTCCATCTTACCCTTCACTCAGCTGAAATGCCACCGCCTCAGTCTTCCTTATCACCAATTTATTGGGTTCCCACCCACCTATCCTCGGTCATTTTACCCATTGTTTATTTCCATCACAGAACATCCCTTGATCATTTACTTAGTTTTGTGATTTTTTTTATTATCTATCCTCTAAAAAATAATATT